GGTTGCCAGGGAAACAGATTCCTAACCCGGTTTCCAAGCTACTGCCTCCCTCCGAAAGCACGTGAGTCATCTCGCCCTATCAGGACTTTTGAAAACGAGAATAACACACCACGCCACGGTCTGTAGCGAAGGCTCTTCATCAGGGGAAAGAGGGGCAGTGGGATGTCCCAATGGGAGGTGGCCTTCAGTCTGGGCTGTGCTGCAGAGTGCTCTCAGCCGCCTGGCCGCCCTCCTCCGGCCTAACCCGGCCAGACAGGCCCGTTTGCAGGGACTGGGGCAGGAAGCACGTGGGGGCCTCCCCCTGCATGGCGGCAGCGAGACAACCAAGGCCTAAGCTTCATGTTTGGGCTCAGGGGCCTCGCAAGACTAGTGAGCCCAAGGTCCATGACCGCCGTGGGTCAGACGCAGGACAGCACCGAGGCCGCCCCCCGCCCGGAGGGAAGCCAACAAGAGGGCCTGGGTCAGGTCCCCATGGGTGGGAAGGAGTGAAGTCTGGAGTCACACAAGGCGAGCTGCCCAGCTTCCTGCCGTGTGTCTGCGGTTGAGCGGAGGTAGCAAGCCAGTGGAGGGCGCGTCTGAGATGTCAGAGGGCGGCTGGGGCACAGCTGCCGGGGCCGTGCTGCCAGGGCCAGAGGCTCTCAGGGCTGCTTCCTGACGACACCGTCGATTTCCGCAGGAAGGTATTTATCACAAATGTCAGAGAAGACGCCCCTTGGAGGCCATACCTCAGCTCCGGAAGTGCAACAAGTGCAACAAAAAACAGCAGTGGGCTGAAGAAGGGCCGGTGAGGGTCAGGCGCCTGACAGAGGCCTGAAGACGCAGTCGAGGGGGCGTGGGAGCGGGCACCTCCGCTTGGCAGGGAGTCCGTCCAAGGCAGGAACCAGAGGGGCCCGGCACCACCGGGGGGACGTGTGCTGCCCATCGCAGCTTTGTCTTCAGCCACGTGGCTTCACCCCAAACCCAGCTCCCACTGGGCTGCACCCTGGCTGCTGGGAACTGAGTGGCCGTCTGCCTCCTTGTCTGTAGGGAGTGAGGGGCACCTCCCAGAGACCCTGGAAGCGCCCACTGATGGTGTCTCACACCCCCTCATGCAGATGGTGTCCCAGCCCTCATGGGCGTTGTGTCCCCAAGAGGGGGATGGGTGTCTGGGGAGACAACAGGGTTACTATGTGTGGTGATTTTTAATAATTCAGCCTAGTTTCCAGTGAACCCTGGCGGCCGAGTCCCTGGGGGGCAGGAACATCAGGGCTCTCATCTGCTCCCTGAAAGGTGGAGATCCAAGTCCTAGCAGAGGCACCTCAGAACAGAGGCCTGATGCCCCAAACAGCCAGTCGTCGGACGCCCCGGGGAGCACGCATCCACCCAGACTCACATCTCGGCACCACCAATCAGAGTTGACTTGACGACAAGTGGTTTTTAACTGGTGCCAGGTGCCAAGCCTGATTTCAGCCAACCCCTGGGGCCATGTGTCTGTCCCTGGGGAGGCTTCAGTGGCATGGGGCACTGTGGAGGCACCACCTGGGTACCCCTTAGGTGCCTGGGGTGGTCTGGATGGCATCGCCCTGCCCAGGTAGAGACCACTGCTCTCAAGTTTCCGAGATCTGTCCCCAGGTCCAGGCCCCTTGGAGTTGCTCTGAAGTCCTGGAGACAGAGCACCAGGTGGGAAAGAAGGGGCGGGGCCAGGATGCAGGGACAATGACAACAAATGGTCCGAGAGTGTTTAGACAGTGTCACTCTCAGCACGCCCCCACCGGCTGTGTGTCCCTGACCCCCTTCTCCCCAAGGTCCTGCTCCACCACTGAGCCCAGGCATGGCCCTGCCCTGAATCACTCACCTGCAAAGCAACACCTGGCCTGCAGCGGAGGCAGGAACCAGCCAGGGGTGGGCCTCCCACTGGCCTGGCCACCGGGCAGCACTTGTCCTGGCACCTGAGAAGAAGGGGAGGTGGGCGTGGCCGCGAGGTCGGTGTGTGCCAGCTTGCTCTCCCGGGGGGTCTGGCCCTGCTCTGCGAACACAGGGTGCAGAGGCGCCGCACGTAGAGTGTGTCCTGCTTGCTGAGGCGCTGCACTGCCTGCCCTGGGACCGCGGACGGCGTGCAAGGGAGGATAGGGACAGAAGCCAGGACGCCATGCACAGGTCCTCCCCCTGCAGAGAGCTGGCCAGCCATCCGCACAAAACCGTGCCCTAGGGAGAAAGAACCAAGGGGGACCCCAGACCGCAGGCTATCAGACACCTGCTGGGTGTTCTCCATTATCAGGAGCTGCTAGAGGCCAGGCCAAAGCTCCGCACACGTCCCTGGCCCTTCCCCCACACCATCTTCCTGGATGGGGCGGGGATGCAGGAGGCCTGGTCCACCGTAGGGTGGTGGAGAGGAGGTACAGCCCTCAGCCACCCGGCCAGGTGGTGGAGAGGAGGTACGGCCCTCAGCCACCCGGCCAGGTGGTGGAGAGGAGGTACGGCCCTCAGCCACCCGGCCAGGTGGT